TCTTTTTGTTTAGTTAACTTTTCCGTTAGGATGATCTTAATTTTTTTTCCTGAAAAACGGACATCTCTGCAGGAGTGCTCCCGAGTCCATCGTCCACTGGTCCAGTGGTCCAGTATCGAGTGTCCAGCGGCGCCTTTGGCCAAATGCAAAACGCCCGCGGCACAATGCTCTGTGACAAAGTGGCACGCTTCCGCAAAGTGTCTCCAAAGTGGATCGAGCTCGAGCGTTCGGTTCGAGTTCCCCCAGCAAGTTCGCCTCAAAAATGTGTAGAGCCGAAGAGCGAAAAGGAAAAAACCGAAAAAGAAATTAAATTGATCTAGTTTCTTTATGGCCAAGAAAGCTTCTGTGCATCGTGGAGCTCGGCGAGAGTCTTCTTTTGGAGTCGCGGAAGAGACAACGACCGATGACAACGGCGACGATGAAATATGTGGCCATAGATACGCGTTGCCGGGGAATACTTTGGGGCATGGTAGTCAGCCCAGTCAGCCTAGTCACTACCTGGCTACCTGGGCAGATGGCCCCCAGTGTCCGGTGCCCTTAGCTAGATGCTGCTAATGCATCGGCAGCAGCCATGATGAATTAGTTTTGATTAGGCCAGATGCGGAGTGGCAGAGTGTGTGTTGTGTGTGTGTGTGTTCGATGGTAGTCGTCTCCTGGCTCCGCCAACTTTCGCTGATCTGAGCATAATATATCAGGGCTTTTCAATTAGTCAAATGTCGCAGACAGTGCGATATGGCCGGGCTTATTAATAGCACTCCGCTACTGACCACTGAGGGTCTCTAACCCCAAGCTCCTATCTCTTAACGGGCACGCCCTGTGATCAAGAGTCTGAGAATGCGTGGTTTGCAGGAGCTATTAGAAGTTCTAGGAAGTAGGATTTTAGTGGAGATTGTATTTTTAAATCAACTAACATTTTAAATGCATTTCATTCAAATTTAACAGGAAATTATATCTTTTACTTATAAAAGTATCTTAATAAAAGGTTAGTCTAAGAGCAATCTAATTTCTAAGATACTCTGAACATATGACTCTTTTATTTTGGAACCACAAAGGAATAGATATTTATAAATCCTATTTTATCCATTCATCCAGCATTGAAATTATATTTATTTAATTAACATTGCATTATATTTGCCAGAGATCCTATTCAAGTTGCGAATTACCAGGAGCCGTGTCGTCTGCAATTGCAAACTCAACTTTTGTTTTGAGCCGATCAGTGTGTCAGAGGAGCTCGTGTCGATGTCGTGTGTTGCATGCGGCATGCAAAGTTGAACTTGGCTTAACTGCTGGCAATTCTATTTATTTACGAAATAAATCACTAACGGCAACTCATTAGCAGTTAAGCAAAGATATTAAGCCGGGGCACTATGGAGATTGCTTGCATGACATTCCGCCGGTCCTTTTTCTGTGGTTTTCGAAAAAAAAGAAGTCCGGTTTCAGATAGTTTGTGGCCGGTTATTGTCGTTGTTTTTTTTTTGTTGTGTGTTGCCGCTGAGTGACTGTTCAGCGACACCTCGCTGGCAGATAGCTGGTCCACTTCCACTTCCACATCCACCTTCACCTCCGCCTCCGAATCGCTAGCCCCTGTATCTTCTTGGCCAAGTGAGCGATAAGCCAGATATTGGTGTCCATATATTGAAGCTACCGAATGGCCAAGATGAAATGTGGCAGCTTATCAAATCGAAATCAATTTGGTGCATATCGGGCATGCCATCTAAACACCTAAACATGTCAAATAGGCGCACTTAAGACGACAACTGCACATGTGTCGGCCCAGACTGCCGACATCAGTTCATCACCTGCTGCTCCTGTTGAACAGCCAGGGATTCGCAGAGGAACTGGACTCGAGAATATAGGGGATTACTATTCAGAATAATTTTGTTTGCGCCTGTCATAAGCCGAACTGGGCCCGGGTAACAACTGGCCATTGGTAGCCACAGCTCGCGGCTCAAATTGTACCGCAAGCCCACAAATCACAAGGCGAACCTCCAGCTCCAACTTCAGCTGCAGTTCCCGATCTCCGCCAGCTTCTCCCATCGCCGATCGCCCCGTTCCTCGCCGGGTGCTGCTCTCGTTCGATGATGATTGCTGTGCAGACAAGAATTTCTAGTTTCAGTCAAGGCAGAACCGCAACAGAACCTTAACTGTGGCACTCGAGAGGCCGGAGACGTGGAAGCCGCAGCCGTGAAAGCATTTTGCATTTCTATGCCCTAAATGAACGGGAACTTTGAATTTGCTGAAAGCTGCGAGAAGTATTAGTTCCTAAAGAAAACTGCATGCAAGCTATAATTCCTTGATTTTAACAATTAATAATAAATAAAATAACACAATACTGATTTAAAAAAAATATTGTATGTTTGTTGCCCTGCAAAAGCCAATTAACATTCTATGGAACACTTTACATTCTATAAAAATTTAAAATAGAAACAGCAAAGCCCTAAAACATTTCTATTCTTTAATTTATTCCCTTTAGTAATACTATAATTTTGTTCAGAAGCTGATATCCCATGAATTAATGAACAGAACTTGCTGTTATTTGATACACATGTTTGGGCTACAAAACACAAACTAAATAAATAACTCTGAAATGTTGATGGACGAGTTTAAAGTATTCCGCTTTGGTTACTTAAATTTAAGTATTTTGGGTTAAATTAAAACAGCCAAAGCAGTCTGTTTAAATATTTTTTAATTTTTTAGAATTTAAAAATGTAAAACGTTATGCAAGTGAACGAAGCTTTTATACGAATTAAGTTATATTTTACACTTTTCTGTAAGAGCATCTTTAGTTCTTCTTAAGCTAACTTAGTTTGGCTTTCCTTTTTGCATTTTTACGATAGAATTGGGCTCATAACTTTTGCCGCGTCCCCGACATTGGCTGCTCGTCTTTGGCAACCAGAAAAACTGAAGAATTTTAGGCCCGACATGCGCCTGTCGCTGCTGGCAGCCCAGCCGGCCTTTTCCAGCGATCGGTGGCAACAGGTGAGCGGTGGACCAGTGGAGAACCACCAGGAGAACCACCAGCAGGAAGGAATCACCGAAGAAAAGAGCGTTTCTTTTCTGGTCAGTCGACTTTCCTGGCGCGCTTTTGCTGGTGGCTGCAATCGCTTTGGAGTTTGGAACATTTCATTAGTTTTGAGTGCTGGCATATATCGTCCGTGTCGTCGTCTGCCGCTCCGCTTTGGCTATTATTTTCAATTTTATTGCGCTTTTTATTGAGGCTGCATTTCGCTATATATGGCCACGATATGGCTTATTGAAACGAATGCCTAACTAATTTATATGACCAGAACGAAACCCATTTCCCGAGCGAGGAGCAGAAAAAATAAGTCAGCGATTATGTTTAATTTTAAATTTCGTTTGTTTAATTTGTTCAAAAAGTGTTTTCGCCAAATTTGCATATTTTGTTGTTGTTTGTATTTGTCTGTATAATATATATTTTGAATATTGTTTAATTTACGTTTGACATAAAATATAAACTTATGCTTAGGGATATATATTAAGTGATAAAGTTATAAGAAAGAACTGATATAGTGGATAGGATTGAGTTTCCCTGTTTGGATGATAGAACCAATTCGACAGACTTAGCGATCTAAACACAAAGACAGTCTTGGAAATTAGATTTTACGAATTGAGAGCCTCTTAATATATTGATTTAAATGGTAATTAAGTAATTAATGTGCACACAAAAAACATTTAGAAACACTTAAACTCCTATGTATTTAACGCACAAACAAATTATATTTGAACTGCAATGCGAAATCTACAAAAATCATTTTGCAAGCTTCATCAGTTGAGCATTAAATGTTTTTGAATTCTGCTTAGCTACGAATAATTGTTGCCTAGCTATGAATGCATCAATAAAATACATTTATTCGAGTGAATTTGTTTTTTTCGTATAATTTATGTATGGAAGAAAAACTGTCCATAAGCAACTTGAGTTATAAAGACATCTACATACATATGTACACAGTTAAATACACCTATGGATATACTTGCTTAAGCTTTGTCCATAAACTGACTGAATAATATTTATTTAATAATAATTATCAACACTGAACCATGCATCAAATGAACAATATAAATCACAACGTTTAAAATTTCAAAATCTCTTCTTTAAATATAATTATCTTTCCTCTGTGTTTTATAAGCTTCATTATTTTCTTGATGGCACATAAGTTTCACACATTCATTTTTATTTGGATACTTTGTGACTTATTCTGAACATTATACTAGCTAAGAAATGACAAACTTTCAATACAAATATATAGGTTAATATTATCCTCCTTTGCGAAGTGTTTTTTCAATTTTTTTTTGGCACTGCCCATTACCTATTAGCTATTTAAACGATTTTACCTTATTCCATCCTAATGCTAATTTGTGTCTGAATTTAGCGGCTATGCAAAATATATGTTCACCATTGTTTTTGCTATAAAATAGATCCGAATCTAAAACATTCTCAAACCATTCGTTACTTTCGTATTTCAGCTATCGTTGCTCTCTACATAAATTAATGTATACATCAACAAATATATTTGTCAAGTGGCACAAGAGTTCCATTTAAGTTTTTCGTGTTTTTTCTACACTTTCTACTTCGTTTCAAGTTCGTTAGGCTTTAGTTTTTGAGGCGCCAGACTCATTCAGAATAAGCTGATCATCAAATATCGTTATTTCATGTGGTTTATTCTTATTTTATACTGTGTGATTCATAGCCATACGAAAATATATATAGCCATGGAAAATAGTTGTGGGAAGGTTCAAAAAGGACTGAAAGCTTTTCTTGTACTCAATGATGTTCAATATTTCTATTGTCTAACACGAAACTCTGTACTTCTTTTTCGATCCTTATTGCCATCGAAACCATCTAATTAGTATTCACCTTCTTTGTAGTTTTTTTTTTAATAAAAATGTTTAAAACTGAAAAGAAGACAAAAAAAGAACACACAAAATAAGATTGTTTTTTAAAAAATTGTTATATATTTTCAAAAGTAAAGTAAACTAATAATATAAAAATTAATTAAACTTAAAACATATCTTTACAAACTAAGAAGAAATTGATTTCTACAGAAGATAGAAAATATATTTATTTTAAATATAGTATAATAAAATTTAATTTCCATTTGCCGTTTTGATTTCGAATCAATTAAGGAAGTACACTGGGACATTTTTCAAATTTAAGTTTTCGTTTTTGTTAAACAAGTTTCTCTTCATTTATAATTAGCACACGAAAATTTCATTATTCGATTTAAAAGTAATTTTTGTTTTTAACTTATGCAATTTATAATGCTTAGAGAAAAAAATGATATGCTAAGATTTGTGTGCTCAATTGTGTATTCTGTATGTTAAAACCTAAATCTAAACCTTTAAGACAATAAGTTAATAATTATAATATATATATATATAATTATTTTAAAATGCAATAAATTAGTGTGTGTTTGTGTTTTAGCATTTTTAAAAAATGAACATTAGCTAGGCAAAGGCGAAAGGATTATAATTTTTAAAATTATTTCTGGTTATTTGCAGTTATGTAAAGAAATTAAAATTATTAATTATTACACATGAGATCACAGTATTAGAGACATAAGTTAAATATTTTCCCATTTCAATTACATCGAATATAATTAGTAATCATCAATTTGCTTTAGTTAGGCTTTGTATGGTTAGTAACTCTGTTTTGCTTCGCTTGATTTCCTATTCTCGACCACGCTTGCATCTGTGATATTAACTAGGCTAACTGTAGCATATTGTAACTTCATTACGATTTAATGTCTTGCATAGATTTTGCTGATAGCACAACCCCGGTTTTATATATACGACTACAACTCAGTATACATTAATGATTATATTCAGCATCAGCGATTGAATCCTAACCCCTTTTCTCCACCACAGAATCCTTGTAGAAGAACGGCTGGCTGGAATCCTGGCCGACCCACACGTAGTTGAACTGCTTCGGACTGGTGAGTGGTGACAGGGTTCCGTAGTCCGAGGTCAACTCGAAGGGGAAGGCGCTCTCGTCGAGATCCAGGGCCAAGGCCAGGCTAACCTTGCGGTTCGGCGACTTGGCCTCATCAACGCTGGATGCCGAGTTAGCTAGTCTCTACATGCTCGCACTCGATGTGACTATGGCCAAATCGGCGGAGTGCAGCAGATGGTGTTGCTGGTACTGCTGGTGTTGCTGCAGACTCAGGTGATGTTGCTGCTCCTGCTGTTGCTGTTGCAGTTGCTGCTGCTGCTGCTGTTGCTGCTGCTGCTGCTGTTGCTGCTGCTGTTCGCCACGCACTTTCTCCTTCTTGATGCGCTGCTTCAGATGCACCTTGGCATGTCGCTTTTTCTCATCGGAACGGGCAAACTTCCTGCCGCAAATGTCGCAGCTAAATGGCTTCTCGCCGGTGTGGGTGCGAATGTGGGTGGTCAGGTGATCGCTGCGGCTGAAGCTGCGCATGCAGATGCGGCACTGGAACGGCTTCTGACCCGTATGGATGCGTATGTGGCGGGTGAGCTCATCCGATCGCGAGAACCGGCGATCGCAGTTCTCCACTGGACAGGCGTAGGGTCGCTCATGAACGGGGGGTTTTGCTGGGTCTGTTTGGGTATTTCCTCGGCTTCACGGGCACCAATTTCAAGGGGACACTGCTCTGCTGGTAAACCTGCGACAGGATCTCGTGACCCTTGCTGGTGGATGGACTGTACTCCGCCAACTGGACTGCTGCTGCTGCAGCTGCTGCGGCAGCGGCGGCCGCAGATGATCCACCAGATCCTGCAGAATATCCCGTGCCGTTAGAATTGGGCTGCATGTCGGGATAGGTTTCCTGTTTGGGTATCAAGACACCCAGAGCTGCATTGCTGGAACTCGCGGATGAAGTGGGTCCCGGCAGCACGAGGGTCTGTTGTTGCTGCTGCTGTTGCACCTGCTGCTGCACTTGCTGCTGCTGCTGTGCGTAGTCCGCCGGGGAGTCCAACCACTGGTACTTCGGCTGCGATCGCACATATTGCTGCTGCTGCAACTGCTGCTCGTGGCTGGTGTGTAGGTCACCCAATCCCGGGAATCCGGTGGATGCTCCGGCGTAAGTTGGCGGCGGTTGCTTCAACAACAAGGGTGCACAATCCATGGTTAGACCAAGTAACTCAGCATGTTGCGCTGCTGCTGCTGCTGCTGCACGTCCATCGTCGTAGGGCGATGGGGTTGCCCCCGTCACTTGCTGTTGCTGCTGTTGTTGCTGTTGCTGCTGCTGCTGCTGTTGCATGGTGGCATAGTGAGCGGGCAAACCGAACAGTGGCGGTTGGAACATGGTCTTGTCCGGACTCGGCAAGCCCCAACTGTTGCCCAAACTATTCGAGGGTGGCGACATTGGCCCGGCCAAAACTCCAAGTTGTGGGGAGGGAAGTTGCTGCTGTTGTTGATGTTGTTGCTGCTGCTGTTGTGCTGCTGCGGCTGCAGCGGCGGCTGCTGCATTCATCGCGTTGCCTGTGGTGGTGAAAACGCCACGATATGAGATTTTGCTAGCCTGTTGTTGTTGTTGTTGGATGGCATGTTGCTGATAGTGTTGTTGGTGTTGCTGCTGGTGTTGCAATTGCTGTTGTTGTTGTTGGTGTAGCGGCTGTTGTTGGTGTTGTTGTTGCTGCTGTTGTTGATGTTGTTGCTGTTGTTGTTGTTGGAGTTGTAGCTGACTGTGATGGTGGTGGTGATGATGATGATGATGGTGGTGATTTGGCAATTGTTGTTGTTGGTGTAATATTTGGTGTTGTTGGTATTGATGTTGCGGGGAGCTCATGTGTTGCTGTTGTTGTTGTTGTTGCTGCTGTTGGTGACTGTGGTGGCAATTGCTGTTGTTGTTGCTGGTGTTGTTATTGTTGTGATGCAGCTGTTGTTGTTGTTGCTGCTGCTGTTGTTGTTGGTGTGATTGTGTATGGTTTCCTGGCGAGCCAACGCCCTCAGTATTGTTGTTGTTGCTTTCGCTTGTTGTTTGTTTGGTGGTGGTGGTTGTTGTTGATGTTGATGTGGTGTTGTTGTTGTTGTGTTGTGGGTACATATTACAACTATTATTACTTGATTCTTCCTTAACGATGGTCAAGGCTGGTGGCGTACTCCGCTCTTCTTTCAACGGACTGCAATGTGACAAAACTGGACTCGCCACAGATATAACTTGGGGCTCCAAAGAGAGATCCTCGGATTCGATGGATCCTGAAATGAAGAGAGAAAAATGAACTTTATTAGATGAGGAATTTTTTGGAATTCATCTACTTATTTATTAATTAGTTTATTAATGTGCATATTGCTTTTAATCTAAACTCAACTTTGATATGATTCTGACAATACTTATATTAAATTCAAATTATTCTAGGCTATCAACGAAATTGTATAATGCAATATTGTATATTTCTAGAGAATCTGAAATTATTAGAAACCTATAAGCAACATTTTTACTTGTATACCTCTTCTTGTATAATATAATATTTGGGCTATATAGCTCAGTGAATAATTGCCCTGAAAGCCGTGATTGCTGGTGTTGCTAAAGTTGCTGCTGTGGCTGATGTTGTTGGTGTTGCTGCTGCTGCTGCTGCAACGATATCAATCACAGTTCGCTCGAACGGCATTGGCACTGGGCTACTGCAGCTGGGCGCGCTTTGATTTCGCGGAAATCGAACGACACGGGAGGTCGCATCATCGCTCATCGTGCCACAAGTCCAGAAGTGCAGAAGCTGCAGGCGGCAGAAGACAGTTGCAGTTTGCAGTTTGCAGTTGGGGGCCAGGCAAAAGTGTCGGCGAGAAGACTAATTACGCGGCTACCAGGCCGACGGAATCTTCGCCAGCTCTCTTCTTTTTCCCCACTCTATACATTCTTTTTGTTGTTTTTTGTTCTGCTCACGATTGTCGTCATTAATGCCGCTCGGACTTGAGCTTTAGCCTGGATATTGATTGAGTTGCATTGCGCCTAATGTGCTGCGACATCAATCTGGTTTTTGAAAGAGGGAAAGAGGGGAATCGCTGGGATTCACAGAAATTTTCGCGATAGCGATTCTATTGTTCTAGTCGGCGTATACACATATATTTGCAAGCCCCATTAATGCTGTCAGGGCAAAATATGTCCCTCTGCCCCCCACAAAAAAAAGACAAAAAATCAAGACATGGCAACAAATTATGTATCATTTGTGACAGGCCAAAAGGAGACGCATTCTAGTCTGGCCAATATGGAGCCTTTGCCCATCCGCTTTTTGGCTGACCATATCGACCAGAAACAGAAACCCTCCACTTTGAGTGAGACATGGCCAGCAGTTTCGCCAGCTTGCCAAGTTTGGCGATTAAAAGCCGCTCCATCATTGTCATGCAAATTGTTTTAATGGATTTTCATTTGAAAATTGCCCATGTCTATGATTTCTGCTGTTCCTTCGCCTTTGCGTTTGGCCAAAGTCTTCACTGCGTGGGTTGTGGCCAGAATTTATGAGTGACATTTTTTTGGCTTCTGGCTAACTTTATAGCTAAAACATATTTTAGCCACCACACATGAATGTTTCCATTCCAATCTCTCATCGGATTTTATGCATTTTCAATGGTTCTACGCATAGAGTGCGGTGCGAAACGAAAAAAAAAGTTGCCATTCTTTGGGGTAAAGAGAGCAATTAAACTCAATTGTTTTTGATAGCAGCAGCAAATCTAGTATACTTTATTTGCTTTGCCTTAATTCAATTAGAAATGCAGCTTCGTAATGCTGTATATATAGTGGTATGTATATATACATATATGCCCAAGTCCGATATGGTTTTCTGTGTGTCCGCGTATCTTGAGGCAGCCGCTAGTGAGAAAATTGCGCTCGAAACATTGACACTGAACGGAAATGTTTAATACATGCGCCGTTGTTGTTGCTTTTAGATTAATTAAGCGACGTTGTTGCCGTTTTATTTATTATTTTTATTATGCAGTCTTAGAAATATGAGAACGGTGCCGCGGCGAGTATTGCAAAATTCAATTTTATTTGACATTAATGAAAAGTGAGCGCAAATATAAAATAAAAATTTTATGACATAAATTTTATGAAGTCTATACACTGATATAGCCATTGGGATGTCAACATTTTTTATTAATTTTTATTTATGTGAGCAAAGACCAAAAGTATATATATCTATATAGGTATATCTTGGCTGGAGACCGCTTTAAATGCCACATAACTTAATAATAACAACGAAATTATTAAGACACACAAAATCACAAAGGAAAAAGAAATCAAAAATTAAAAACAAGATCAACAAATCAGAAGAGCTGCAAATAAAGAAATGCCTCAAAAATTGGTACTTCAACGTTTTTTTTCGAATGTTTACTTTTCGATTTTCAACTTGTTGTTATTCGGGGCAAGCCCAGGGAGAAAAAAAAAGGTTGCAGGGAAGTCCGGAGAAAGACAAAGCCGCGATACGTTGAAGTGGCGCAGAAGTAAGTCAAGATATGGCCTAACATAACGACAGTTTCTGCGCTCTGCACTGAGGCTGATTTATGTTGAGACTTAAGACTGACAACGGATTAGTTGCGGACTCCATACGGACTGCAACTGCTGGCTGGCGTTGCCACTGCAGCATGTGGCAGCTGCAAGCTGCATCCATTAGCAGCAGATAAAGAAACCTCACGGCCCGAGTTTCTCCCAGTCGATGCAGCGCAGCTAAGCAAAACTCTATAAATGTTTTGAGGCTTTGCTGTCCACGATTTATAGGCTGTATTATAATATTGAACTATCATGACGAGGACTATAAATTGCCGCTATTTTATTTTTAAATGACATTGACATTAAGAAATTTACTATTTAATTATTCCCTAGGGAAATACTACTAGCTAAAAAATGTAGCTCTTATAATTATTCTGTAATTCTGTGATCAAGATGTGATTTAAAAATAATAAGAAGTGTTAGGCAAATTATATAAAATATAATCATTAACATAAAATCAAAAAACACTTAACTTAATTTGATAATCGCTTTGTGATGTATATTTTAGTGATCTCAACTAATAAATTAATATCTTTAATAACTAAAGTGTGATTGAATCTTATCTAGCTGATACTTTATAATTATTGATTGCGTTATGAACAACTGAATTAATTTTTGTTATTACTTTCTCATTATTATTCACGTGATTAATCACTGCCCTTAGATCTTTTCTGTAGTTCTACTTACCAGTAATGGGTGGTGGTTCCACCACGGTGGTGGGGCCGAAGAACGAGGGAATATCGCTGGACGTGGTCACCGGCGTGTTGAGATCGCCGGGTAGCGCCTCGATCAGCTGCTTGTGGGCCTCCACCTGCTCGACGGCCGACGAGGCGGGACTGTGCTGGCCGCTCGTGTTCAGCAGGCTGAGATGCGATGCGGAACTCCGACCGCTGCTGGCGGTGGCACTTGGCTGCACGGCCACGTGTCCCGGACTGCCGCCCTGGGTGGGCGTGGCCGTTTGATTGCGAGCACGGAGCACCGAATTATTGGAGGCGGAAGCGGCGGCGGCGGCTGCTGCAGCGGCGGCCGCTGCCGAGGCGGTGGTGTAGTGCAACAGCGAGGAGGAGGACGACGAGGAGGCGGCGGAGGAGTTGAGGGAGTTGCTGCTGGTGCTGGCGCCACCACTGTGATTACCGCCGAACTGGGCGGGACTCAGGTAGGTGGCCGTCGACGGACTGCCGCTGCTCTGGGCCGCCGTGCTCGTCTTGAAGAGACACGTGTCGAAGCTCAGCACATTGAAGTGGGCGGCCGCGGCCGTTTCGGTGAGCAGGAATGCGTGATGGGTTGGCGCCACCAGGGTTTCAAGCCCTTCCATGATCATGGCCGCTGATGGAGTTCCAGGGGCTACGCCGCCTGCAAAAAATAGAAAAAGGAATTGTTACTTTAGGAATTTTTAAGCTATTCATACTAAAAAGGCGAAATGTTCATTCAAAGCTCTTATAATTCCCAACCAGTTATACCCAAAGAAAATTCCTTTGATTATGTCTTGTATAATCTTTTATAATCTAAGTCAAGTTTAATCCTAGTTGTTAACCACAGATGGACTCATGCAAAATCATATTGCGAATGCCGCGCACTTCGCTTTTCAATTGATTTGCCACGACAGCTGTTCGATTGCATAACCAGTCGTTGTCGGTGAGTGAGTGCTTTTGGGTCATCAAGTGCTGGTGAAATTACTTAACAATTTAATTTGCCATCGACTTGTCCGTCTTTCGGTACTATAAACTGTCGCAGACTTTCGCCTCCTGCGCCCACGATCGCAGGCAATTAAATTAAGATCGATTAAGCACTTAGCACAGCTGAGCAGCTCATCTCAGCCCTGAGAAGTAGAACAGGCGGCTTTCCCATGGTTCGGCCAGGTTTTGGGTCTCCATCATCTTCCCGGGAAGTGGGTCAGTGGCGGTGGTGACCTTACGCAATCCACTGACGCGAACTTATGCAAGTCTTAATTAGAGTTTGATCAGCGGCTAGTGGATAGCAAATTTTTCTTAACAAATGTCCCATAAACTAGGCTTATTATTTATTTTGTAGTTTGTAGTTTTGCCTGTATGTTTATCACAGATAAACTAACCGAAATTGCGATTGCCATCTGCAACGAGTTTCGGCACTGGGTCTGGGTCTTCCCCCGCCTCTCAATCCGCTCGAATCGCTCGATGTGGCGTCATCCAACCGCTCGAGTGTTGTTTTATTTTATTATTATTTTTTCCAAAACTTTTTTTCCCTGTTGGCGAAGGCTTGACCGCGTTGATTTGCATTACAAGTGTACTTGTGTTGACAGGCAGCTATGCGCCAAAATAACTACCGTGCCACGGCGTATCCGACAGATACGAAGAAGCAACAGCAAAACAGCCAGCCAGCCATCCAGCCAAATGTGCGGAGCGGAAAAAAGCGTCCCGCTTTTGGCACTTTTGCTTTTTTATTTACATTTGATTTCACGCATAATTTCCATGGCAAAGTGCACTCGAGACAGGCAGCGGAGTGAAATTACATTCAAAACTGTGGGCCGCCGCTACAGATTCAGATACAGATTCAAATACAGATCCAGATACACGGCACCGTGGATACACACCCGCGGATACATTTGTGTTTTTTGGGGGGGGGACAGCGCGTGCTGGGATCTCTTGTGTGCCTTTTGTGTTTTGTTCATTCATAAAATTATGCGCCCGAGTCAATAATTTTTACAGTCGATCAAAGATTTGTATCTTTTCTTCTCCAGCCACATGAATCATCCGCGGGCGGCCGAAATAAAATCCAATACTTTGAACGGCTCAAACGTCTGAAAACTGGTTGGAGAGCATCGGATCGACTTCCACCTCTTTGGACTTCTTGGCCCGGTCTTTGTCTGCCCCCTGGTTCTTAATAACTTGGCTAACAATTGACACTCCCTTAAACGAAAAGGAAAAAAAATCAAGAAAAACCAACAACGGCAAGCTGTTGCTTATCTACAGTGGCAACCGGCTAAGAAGATTATTGCCGGTAACCAGGAAAAAAGTTTCGGAGGAAACATGACATGGAATCGCTTCAAAGATCTTTCATGGCTTGGAAATTTTCCTGGCAAAGTTTTCCCGCGAAACGTTCACCTTAGGCAATTGCCACTGTTTCGAACCGCTGTCTGCGTTTATGTATATTGTAAATCTTGTCTCCGGCCCGGATCCCCTGACTTCTTTCACTCTGCATATTTTTGCATAGCATTTTTCCTGATTTTGTTTTTAGTGTAGTAGGACAGACAACACACGTCAAGATCTCTTGCCATGAATGAATATTGGCAGTGGCTGCGAGCGCGAGCGAGATGGATATCCGAAAGATACATTTAACGGCTCGATGAGGAAGAGGTAAGGCGGAGAAAAAAAAGCGCCGAGCATGAAAAAATTGTTATGTTGATATTATTTTAATTAAGTTTTGCCAAACCGGTTGCAGCTGTCGCTGCTCTAGCCATTTCCATAGTTCCTCTTGGGGTTCTATACGCTCTTTTATTTTATTTTTATTATCACTATTTTTTTTGTTTCGCCTTAGCCGAGAGTGTTAACAATCGGATAGATGGGCGCCAATTTGTTTGCTTTGGCAAATGAGGAGGGGATAGGCCATGGGCTGACCCCCAGACCCGGGTTTTGACCATTTGTTTTCATTGGCAGCACTGAAGACCTCATTGAGGATTAGATGTTGAGACGCGCTAAGCGACCTTTGGCTACTTAACGGCTCCAAAAATAAACTACAAGTTTGTTGTCTTGGGGGATCTTGTGCAATACTATCCGGTACTCAAATATCGCCAGCGATTTGCATTCCCAACCTTGGCGCAGATATATAAAAAAAACCTATCTCAATTAATAATAACAATAATAATAAAAGTTTTGTTTTTTGTCCGCTGGTACTTTTTTCTGTTTTGTTTGGTTATTAATATGAAAAGAAATTGGAGAAACGTTTAAAGGAGAAGGGATGGCGATCATTAGTCAAGAGTGAGTATGTGTGTGTGTGTGTGAGTGAGGAGTAAAAGTATCTTGCAGATACATAGATAGAAAACATGCAAGTTGCATGCGACACGGAGCCAAAACGAAACGATGATGGAATGGCCGGGCGGCAACAAAGTCCATCATTCACGCAGCGGGAGCAGAAACCCCCCATTTCCCCCTTCGCCCCTTCCCCCCGCTGCACCCCATCCTCCCTTCGCCAGGAGTGTCCAACAAGTTAACATGGACAACATGAAAATGTATCTTTTGCCGCCGTCTTTTGCATGCGTAACACTTTGTCACACTTTTCATGCCAACAGCTTTGGTTGCCCGTTTTTCCCCCGCCATGAGAACAATTAATGAAAATAAACAGCCGCGGGCCAGACAACAAAAACAACAAAAACAACAACAACAAAAACAACAACAACAGCTATACCGCACCGAATATATATGTATATTTTTATAAAGATTTTTTTTTTTTTTTCTCGTCTTTGTTCGAGATCATTTTAGTGGGCACTTAAATGAAAATTTTCTTGTTTGACTTGGCAGCCAAACGAACAAAACAACTCCCGACGGCAACTTCAGTCTTTTGGCCACTTTGAGTGGTAAGATCCGAGGGATGGGGGAGTTGTACGATGTCAAAGTGCCATTTGGCAACTGCGGCAAGTGTTAAATGAACTCTGTGACCCATCCACGGACGTCGGCACCTTTTGTTTTGATCTCATAATTAATTTCCCGAATACGGAAAATTGACGAAAGTGATGGAAAAGCTTTAAAATTGATAAATGATCTTTAGCTTTTCCATTTCGTTGGTTATGGGAGGTTGCATGTAAATCATTTTGCTAATTGTTTTTCCATTTCGCGGTGGCTGCATCGGAAAACCGCCACTGGGAAATGCATTAGCGGGAAAACTTTTTGGGCGTTCCGAGGGTGAATCTTGGGGTATGTAAATGTGGGGAATGCAGACGGACCAAAAATTTGCCATTAAATTGTAAACATCAGAACTGAGCAGATTGCCAGTTTAATCGAGCGCTAAGTGTATGACAATATTTTAATTACAAAAACTGCAAATGCTGCTAATGCGGATACACTTGTGCTCCCCGGGCTACATAAATTCAGGAATACATAGTTGCAGTCGTAAATTTTGCCGCTTGGCTGTCGGCTCCCAGGTGCTATCTAAATAACGTGCAGAAATTTTTATTATGCGTTAAATGAATTTTTATATCTTTCAACTAAATCTGTGAAAATAAAACAAGACTACTGACTAGCAGAGCCAAGGGATCGCTGAGTTTCTCTACGTTTTCAAATTATATTGTTGCAACTTGTACCCAATAAAGAACAGAAAGTCTAAAAGCTTCTTTCATTCTTGTTAAATATAAGAAAATTATGCTTTCCTATTGGATTTTGTCTTGGCACTTTGGCGATCAAATTTTCTATTCTAACACATGCTGAACATTAAATAAACGCAATTCCTTAAATTTATTTATACAAAAAACTGTTTTCAAAAATAACTCTCAAAATACGAACATTTATTTTTTATAGTTTTTTTTTGATAAATCACTTCCTCTGATTTTTTTGTTAAAAACACCTTGAACTTGCCTATGCCTATAAGAATTTTTTTAAACTTAATATTTTCCAATTTGACACAGCACACATAAATCAGCATTAAAATTTATGCTCTGTTGGCGTTCTTATAAATTTAATTTGTTGGCCAATAACTCAACCAAATTCACACAGAACGTTTTTCATTTTATTAAAGAAACGAATGAAATACAACAGCATATTTTATGTGACACCCCAAACACCACACATTGCATCACTGTTAAAGCAAACACCCACCTGGATCGCAATGGCACTTGCAGAAGAATTCAAAGGGATTTTCCTTTGGCTTTGGTCGCCTTCTCGGCTTTTCCTCGCTCTTAGAGGTGCTGTGTAATTTTCACTGTCAGTTGCACGAAAGTTTCGTTCTCACTGCGAGGCAAAAATCAATAAAGCACTGCTCGTGTAATCATCTTATGCGGCTGTGGGCTTTCATTCATGCCGTCGCCAACAGCCGGAGTATCCTTTCACTTTTACTTAAGTTTTAGTTTAATAGGCAAGTATCTCTTGCTATTTGTTTGACCTTTTTTTGTTTGTTAATTATTATTTGTTTTTGGCACTGCTCTTTCGAACTCTCACTGCACAAACGATACGTTTCGGGATTTTCCAAAAGATATTTTCACGTTGAATATCTATACAATGTTTGCTGGTGATTTGCTTTCTTGATTTCTTGCTAGCTTGCTGGCTTGCTTGTTTTTAGTTTCTTCTATTCCAACCGTCGCGTTTGCTTGTCCGAACACAACTGAGGCACGAGATGCGCCCTCTTTCGGTTTTTATGAATGAAACTCAACATCGCGGCTCGCTCACACATACCAGTGCATCGATGGCTGCCCCTCGCTCGGGCAGCTATCACAATGCCCCTGCTCGGCGGCACGCGCCCCAAAGTCGAAATCGAAAAGAAACCCGCTCTCTGGCGGGGAAATCGCGTTGCTCATCTACGTCACCGTGGCACTCGACCATCTCACACACATATATATATACGCATACATTTACATATAGCATAGCCGGCCGGTTTGCGGGCCGATGTCGATCCAATCGTAGGTCTGGTTGCCTCCCTACGCTGCAGCCATTTTCATCGCGCACGCGCATTTCAGCCAATCAACAGTTTGCCAGGCCTTTCCGCCGTGGTGAGTTTCTCTCCTCCGTCTCTCTCTCACTTTGCTTTTCGACTTCGACTTTGCTCTCTCTTCGCGGTCTCGCTTGAAGTAAAAATAATACAACAGGTACCCCCCAATAGGTATGTGTGTATGTGTGTGTGTGCCCCCTCCGGCATCCGGCGATTCGTGCGCTTGTGTGGGAACTTTAGCGGCTGGCAAATGTTATGATTTCCCGAAATACGTCATCAATGTGCGCGAAAATTGCGGCCCATTAGCTAGAGCAATTTTTGCATCGACGTAAACACCGTGAGATCCATCCGGAATTGTTTGCATGAGCCTCTGTCTGGCCAGATACTTTTCCCGGGGCCGCCAAAGGTCAGGGTGGCAAATTGTTTATCAAATAGTTGGCCAAGTGTTTTGGCAAAAGACTGTTTGAGATACTTCAATGTTCAGGAGCTTCTTAAAGGGGAATATTTGGGTAATTGGGGGTACTTTTATTAAGTTTAACAAGTTAATTTGAACTATTTGGGTGGATATGCTTTAAAGATATCAAGAAAAAATATTTTTGTAGGGTTTATTTATATACTTAATTGGAGTGGGTAAAGAATGGTATGAAAAAAAGTTCTGGTGACTGATTTTCGTGAGAAATATAGAACACTAAAGAGTTCTTTGGATGATTGATTTATTAAGCTAGTGAAACCCAACTTTACCGCTTGACTGGGTTACTGAAGCAGTAGTAAATTTAGAAAGCAGGTGATATATGCCTAAAGAACACGCCCTGTGAGCACAAATATATCATCCACGAATAAGTCTAGATTTTTTTTTTAAAATTTCTAATCAAAATTACGAAATTTAGACATTTTTAATTCTGCCAGCCTTAAGACTTGTAAAATTATATAGTAATATTTCAAACGTTTCCGTGTTTCACTGTTCTGTTTCAGTCTGTTCACCAAAAAATTTCATGGACAGCATTTGGAATTTCGGCTCATATGTTTATCATTCGTTCACATTGTAAATGAAACAACAGATTCATGTGCTAAGGACAAGGTTGCACGTCAGATGTGCAATGTGCAAAGGCATTTATTCCGCGTTGTTTTTACTGGGGAACGTAAACAAAATTGCAGCTAGAAATAGTGCGAAAATTAAATTGAAATGATGCTAGGAAGGAAACCGAAATATTCGCTGTTAAAAATATTCGCTATTCAGTTAAGTAACTTGAAGAGTAAATTAAGTCAAGTGGGAATCCTAATGGTCAGGTAATAAAAGTTATTCATAGTCACAACCTAACCCAGACACCTTTTTTGTGTGTTGATTGGAGCACACGCCATGACCTAAAAATAAACACCTGGGGAAATGTTTTTCTTTCGTTTTTTGCCGGCAAAAAGTTCGACACCAGACAACAACAGACTACGTCAGATATCTGGCAGATACACAAGGGATACGGCTACAGATACAGATACAGATAGAAATACAGATAGAGATACAGATATATACATATGTGCCCCCACCCAAAAATAGAACTTTGCCTCATTTGTGAAAGTTTCTGCCAAACAAAATAAATACAAATCGCATACGCTTCCGATTATTTTTAACCTTCGCATATTGCTGACCGATCGAGGATTTTATTTGGGGATAAGGCCAAAATAATGCGATGGAAAGGGATAGTAGAGGTTGCCGCATGCCACCTGTAGGCCAACGTACGCCAATAAAAACTTGCGCGATTTTCATCAACTCAGTAGCGGCGAAAATGAAAACTCATTACGCTAAATATAGCTAAATCTATTCAGAAATATTGTACAATATTCACCGTAAATTTCTCGTGACGTTGATTTTCGGGATGTTGTTTTGTTTTTCTCAAAAGGGGGGAAAACGTGAGAGATGTGAGGCGAGAGGTGCTTGGTGCCCAGCCCCTGACAAAACACCCAGGAACATAGTTTGCACAATCTATAAATAAGATTTTGGGGCCATTGTAAATTATTCGCTGCCTGCCGACTGCCTGATGTCTGATTGCCGTTCATCCAAAGATGGACATGGATGGATGCCGTTCAGATGAGGGGCGTGCTTCAAATATAAGCCCAGCTGAGCTCGCAGGTGATGACTGGTAGCACTGCACCTCTTCCTCAATTTGGTAGCACTGCCATCAGCACTCCCAGGACAAGTCGGGTCTCCAATAAACATGGCTCACACAAAAGAACAAATAAATTAGCTTCCATTCATTGTTCATTTTATGTGGCTTTAACAAACTAATTAATGTTTTTTAGCAATCATATCGAGGTAGGTATATATATGTACTCTGAGTTTTCAGGAGTATAAAATGTAATGATGTTTTATTATGGCAATGATAAAATTGAGGTATATCTTTCTAATAACAATTCAAAAAGGATATTTTCAATTTTAACAAATGTAAGAGAGAGATATTTATATATATTTCGTTCAGTAGTAAATATAAAGACGAAGGTAGTTAGGAACCTTACAAAAAATAAGGGTATAATAAAATTATTCATATCATTTTTAACTTAAGGTTTATTGAGTTATAGGTAGCTTTATATATTAAATTTTAAAATATATCTTTAATGTCATCTTGACTTCACAGAGTTATGACGATCTGCTAATTCATTCACCCTTTTTGTGGCCTTACCTATCTGAATCTTCGACATTGTATTGATATCTATATCTGTCTATATGCCAATTTCGGAGATGTGTGTGTGCCGTGTATCGTGTGGGTTTCTTCAGGCGTGTTATCTCATTGAGAACGTTGCTGAACGTGCGTGGGTCAATTGGGGAGACGGCGAGTGCTGTGACTGCTGCCTCTTGATGAGGCAGAGGCGTTAGATAGTCGCAAGTCGCAAGTCGCAAGTCGCGAGTCGCAAGCCAGATGACACATGGCACGCGCCCAGCGCAGACACAGATACAGATACACGACAGACAAACTTGACTTGACAAACTGACTAACAAACAAACAGACCTACAGACTTACAGACTTATAGACTTATAGACTAGTAGACTAACAAACAAACATTGGCATCAATGCCAAGCCGAGCTTGTCTGTTTGTCTGTCTTTTTAGCCAAGGTCCGTGTTGTGCCGTAAATGGTGAAAAGTTTTGTTAGGGCAACTTTTGAGCCACAGCCTGCGTAGGCCGTAATTAAAAGCGTATTGACTGGCAATGCAACTCGTTTGCTGCCATCCCGCTTGCACTTGAATCGAATCTATGAGATACACTTGAGTTACTTGGCTGATGTATTTTTTTATCCGTCTGTCCGTCTTTCTATTCACTTGTTATTGGTTGGCCAGTCTTCGACTTGCCCTCGGTACTACTGAAAGTGCTTTGTTTTGCCCTGCCAGCCGCCAATGGGGGCTTTGTAAAGTTTTCACTCCGATTGAAATGCTGCGCATTACGCAAGCCAACTTCATTTTGGTTTCGGCCATAGGTGAGAGGTATAAACCAATCGACAAGTGGGCGTCGTCATCAGCTTTAGTTGGAGTTGAGGTGTAAATAGATTTATATAAAACTTTTGTGATATTTATTTTACATATACCCATTCCCAAACTGCGACCGTTTTGGTGGTGCTTAAATTTCACTTCTCTTGTAAATTGTCAGGATATAAAATATATACTCCCAAGCGGTGGAGAAATTAAATTTTATTTACCGTTCGGCTGTGTTATTTCATTGTAAAATTCATAAATAAATTTTTGATTTTTTCTATATTTTATTTCATTTAATTTATGAGCATCATAATATGCTTTATGATCTTGGCATGTTGCCGTAAATTGCTGCAGTCAACAGCAAAAGGGGGGAAATATTGTTGTTCAGAGACACAAATTAGAAATTTAAACATTTGGAGACCCCGAAAAAATATTCCATTGGCTGAAATAGAGCAGAGAAACGGGTGGGCGAAGAATCGGGGGACACGGAGAATCTGAGAAACGGCTCCATCGCCATTTTCCCCCGTGTTGTTGAGAGGTCGGCGAAAAATGAGGTGAGAATTAAATTTGATTTTCGGTTTTTTATTAGTTGTCAGTATTCCAAAACAAGTGCATAAAATATAAGAAATTAGTAAGATAATTAGTGGTAGTGAATATATGTATTGCAGACAGTTTTTCGGAAGACTTTTGAATTGATTAGATTATAACAATTTATCGCCGATAAATTTGGCAAATTAAGTCTTTATTTATAAGATTGGAAAATGTCTAATATATTTTCCCTAATTTTATATTTAAAAAGCTTAAAGAAAAGATACGAGTATACCTTTACTTGTATTAACTGAAAATATTATTCAGGATTTTGAAAAATATTCACGCAATTTAGTTGAACACTTTCTCTGAGCTGTCAGCTTCAATTTTGGAAAGCGAAAATCCAACTGTCTGGCAATTGTTTACCAGCTGCCCACTGCCCCATTACTTTTGTCTAATTGCAAACTCTATGAGTTTTGGCACAAACATGAATATTCATAAATAATAACTCGTCGCAATCCCAATTAGGAATAAGCCGCTCGATTCAGCCTGTTTCGCCTGGTGAAAGTGGGTCAAATAAAATGGCATCGGAAATAGATTGCGCGAATGTGTTTGATAAGTACAACTCATGCTCTATTTATGCTGATCTCCTGTTTGGCACATACACGAAAACATGGCAATCA